TGTGCGGAGACAGGACAAGGGGAAATGGCCAGAAGCTGGAACATAGGAAGTTCCGCACCAATGTGTGCAAGAACTTCTTTACGGTGAGGTGACGGAGCACTGGAACAGGGAGCACTGCCCAGGGAGGTTGTGGAGTCTCCTTCTCTGGAGATATTCAAGACCCGCCTGGACGCCTACCTGTGCAACCTGGTGTAGGGATCCTGCTTTGGCAGGGGGTTGGACTCGATGATCTCTGGAGGTCCCTTCCAACCCCTACGATTCTGTGATTCTGTGAAGAGCATTCACCTGCACTTTTCTGGTTAAGTATTGATCAAGAGTTGAAGCAAACAGAAGTCTGGCCAATCTCTTGGCTACTATATAAGTGATGTGATAGATTTGGATTAACACAATCCTATTCCCAGTTTAAACTAAAACATTAGAATACTGAAAGAAGTGTTATAATAAATAACTTTTGGCATCTTTGGAAACTATAGAAGAGAAATCTGTGGTATACTAGATTGCAGAAAATTGAGCTTCAATAGTATCTTTTTTTTTTTTTTTAAATTGTTCCTAACTGGTAAATAGAAGAACGACTTATGATACATATCCCTTTGAAGAAAAAAAGGGTTTCACGCTTTGTTGCAAAACAAACAAACAGCTTCACTCCTTTCCCCAGATGCTCAGTTGAAACTTCTGGTATGATTCCTTGTTTTCAGCAGTTGGGGATCATAGCTTTAATGGTAGAGTACTCTTTAGGGCTTCATATACCTGAAATTCAAATGGCTTTATATTTTTGCTGTCTGTGAATAAGTCGTATGATCTAATGGCCTCAAAGTGTTTGAAATTCACAACCACGAATTGAGTTGCTTTAAGTGCATGTGCACTGGCTTACTGTAGTTTAATGTTCACACTGAGCTCTTAGGCTTTTAAGCTTTCTTTGGTCTCTGTATAGTTACTTGCTTCTGCAATCTGTGCCTGCTCTTTGGCACAGGTTCTCATGAGAATGTGTGGACAAACTACATAAGACTCCTAGAGGAAGTGCTGACTTCTCTACCTTTCCCGAACACCACTTTCTGTAACTCTATTGATTTATTTTACAGCTAGTATGTCAGTGCTGTGGTCCTTATAAAATATTACATCTGGACTTCATAAAAGGATTGCCAGAACATCCACTTGTTACTTCAGACATATGATGCAAAGGGCCAGCCAGATTATGGAACCTTGGATATGAAACAGGAGCTGCCAGATTGTGGTATGCTAGGACTCAGTGATAGCTATACAAATAAGTATATTCTGTTATTTGAACAAATAATGTAGAGTCTGGGTTTCAGGAATAGTTACTTTATAACTGAGATTGTCTGTGCATTCTGAGTATTAAGGGATTAAAATGAGTGCCACCAAGGGCTCTTCTTTCTGCATGTTATAGATTATGAAATAAGATAAAAAGGTGAGATTATTTCCTAAAAAATCACATTAAATCAGGAGAAGCACGTAGGAACAGCAATGTCTCAAATTTATTAGAAGTTTTTACTCTGAATTTTCACTTTGTAACATCCAGCCACAAACACCTTGCTATTTTACTGAATTGAAATTACTTTCAGGCAATAAAAAGCTCTTGTTTCTTGCAAAATTACGTCTGATATCTCAGCAATGACAGCAGAACTCCAGTTCATGCAAATCAGAGAGAAAACGAAATACTTGCCATGTTTGTGTTGGTTGACTTACAGTCAGCGATGTGATTCAACAGCAGACTAACAATTTGTTACTGGTGTCTTGAAGCACCACAACAACGCAACACGAGCGCGATTCGTAGAGTTGCATTTAGACTCCCTCTAGTGGATTTGTTTAAGAATTACTCTTCCACCAAAGCAAACAGAGCTTAAAAAAGAAAAACGGGTTCAAACTACAAATACCAGCAGCTCTCAGCGCTGTTGAGAAAGGACCCAGGACACACCTCTCGATCTTATTCTGCGAATATTTTTTTCTTCTATGCGAGCCGATGGGAAGCGAGGCACGTTGGAACATTATCTCTGGATTGACTTTTATTTTTTGGCTGCTATTTTTTTAATTTGGTTGATAGCCCTTCCTGCCTCATAGCAGCGTGACAGTGAAAGAAGGACCCAAACCTTTAATCTTGTTTTGCACTGGATTTAGCAGGAGACAATTGCAGAAGCCTGCGAATTACCATGGAAAAGATCCTGAAAACAGAATTGAAAACTTCAGTTCTGAAGGCCTTTGGGAGCTCGGGAGGAGGATATATTAGCCAAGGCCAAGCTTATGAAACAGACAGTGGACGAGTATTTGTTAAAATCAACCACAAGCCTCAGGTTAATGCTAGCAGATATTTAACTGTTAATGTTATTGTATGTAGAGAGCTTTTCTCTTATAAAAACAGATGATGGCTGATTTAGAGTTCTGCATTTCCAGGCTGACTGATTTCAGCTTTTGTTTCAGTTTTCTTTTAAAAGCTGTGGGCTACTTTATGTCAGGTGTTAACAGAGCGAGTTTAGGTAATGGAAAATGAGATCTAATGCATAGTGATAATAACAGCAGGAATTGTTGTTGTTACATGTAAACAAGGGGCTGAGTACAGAGCTGTTATTGTAGTACTTAGTTTGGAAAAGCCTAAAGCTGAATTTGCATTCACTGCATTCCTTTTAATATTTCAGTGGGAAGGGAGGAAACAAAGAATGTCAGTGCTAAAATTCATGGTTTTTTTTTTTTTTTTTTTTTTTGCTCTGTTGATTTGGTTTGTTTGTTTTAAGCTGTAAAGATTTCAAACTTCCCCTTGGTTGAATTTTCTACCATAAGATTCTTGCAAATGTTCAGGCTTTTCTTGGCTTTTCTGTTACTAAATGAATACAGTACTTGATTGGTGGTTTTGGTTTTGTTTTTTTGGTTTTTTTTGCAATACAGTGCAGCAGAAACTTGCTTTATCAGTATCTAAAATATCAATATCTTAAAGCACCTTAAAACTGCTGTGAAAAACAACATCTTCCCTTCAAAAATGCAGAGTACAGGTTTAGACTTTGTACTTTCATCTCATCTGGTGGTCATTGACCTGTATGGAAATGAGAACCAGTTTAAGGATTCAGTCTTTTACTGCATTTAGTAGTGGCCAACTGTGGTTTTGAAGGGAGATGTCTTGGGTTTTATCCTTAGACATCCTGTTATGTCTGAGTAGTTTATCTCCATAAACAACTGGGAGTTCAAGGTGGAATATTACATATCCTACTACCTGGAACTAATTGGCACAAAAAAAGAAGAATAATAAAATAAGGTACTGAAGTCTCATTGTATGGATTGAAAGCTATGTTCTTTTTACCAAGGTAAACTTAATTGTTGTAAATCTGTAAACAATACTTTTTTTTCCCTGAAGTACTTGTTGCAAACATCTCTATTTTAGCTGAAGGTTATTCTTTTTCCTTGACAGGCTAGAAAAATGTTTGAGGGGGAAATGGCAAGTTTAGAAGCAATTCAGAAAACCAATATTGTGAGAGTGCCTCAGCCTATTAAAGTAATTGACCTTCCTGGAGGAGGAGCAATGTTTGTCATGGAGTACCTAAAGATGAAGCACCTCAACAAGTATGTACATCTGTACCTCTTCTTCTCTTTTTTTGGAATATTTTCTTAGGAACATCCTGATTGCAGCTGGGAACAGGTTAATTTTGTTCCTTGTACCTGGTATGCTGCTCTGTTTTAGATGAGAATAATGTTGATAACGCTGTTGTTGCAGAGCAGTGCTTACATTAAGTCAAGGACTTTGTCAACTTCTCACACTGCCCTGCAGAGAGGAGGCTGGGGTGCACAAGAAACTAAACAAACACTGGGAGAGTTGGCCAGGGGGTGGGAGGCACTGCTCAGGGTCTGGCTGGGTGTAAGTCAGCAGGTGGTGAGCATTACATTGCATACAACAATTACGTTGTGCATCACTTGTTTTGTACATTCTCTGTCCTTTATGTTGACCTATGAGGTTTTTTGTTGTTTTGTTTTTTATTTCGTGATGCTCTCCCCCATCCCTCCTTGGGGAGAATGAGTGCTTATCTGTCCATTGGCTTAAAACACAACACTTGGTCAGAGATACAGCAAGTATTTATCGAGATTGATGTTTCTACCTTTAAGCATGCAACCTTGTGGGTGTTTCTTCTTTTTTTCCAAGAACATAATTTATCCCTTTTTACTATCACATTTAATCAGAGTTTTTGTCTAGCTATTTGCTCCCTATTATGTACTCATGAAGTTTATTATTTCTGTCAAATGCAAAACCTTACACTTGGACATAATGAATGGAGATTTTTTTCCTGTAATGTTTTGTTCATTTGTTCAGTTTCAGTTTTGTTTTGTTCTTTGATCCTCCAGATATTCTTCAAAGCTTGGCGAGCAGATAGCAGATCTTCATCTTTATAACCAGAAACTTGGAGAGAAATTGAGAAAGGAAGGAAATACAATTGGTAGAGTATAGATTTTTGTGTACTGAAACAAAAATAATGCATTTGGCTGTGGTTTAGTAGTGTGTTGTTATACAGTCAGTACTAGGACACTGAGTTGCTAAGCCCTGTCAAGAATACTCATTACTAGCTTGCAGTTTCAGTTTATGCTTGTAGCCATCAACTTCAAAATCATGTGGGTAGCATTGGAGCAGCTTAGTCTCTTATTTGCTATAGTACTTTATTTAGTTTATTGTTTAAAGCTCTTTAATTTTTACATTTTTTTTTTCATGTTCTTTCCATTTTTAGAGGGCATTAAGACAGTGGAAAAACTGTAACTTATATTTGCCCATGCTTACATTTATTTTTTGTATGCCTATCATCTGAAATGTAGCCCTGTGTTTGCAGACCTTGCTATATAAAGATCTCAAAACTGCCTGTGTTTATGTTTCTTAGGTAAAGGAGCCAGTTACTCTGAATTTCAGTATGTGGATAAGTTTGGATTCCATAAGGCCACTTGCTGTGGTTATATAGCACAGGTATGTTGCCCATTTGTGAAAGCTGATGTACTCACATGGTTCTGTGAACTCCTTAGATGAAGGTTTGTTTCATCGGCCTTCAGCTTTTGGATAATAATTCTGCTTTAACATCTTCATTTTGACCTGATGGTGAAGGGAATATGATGGCTCTTCAATGTGTGTAGCTTGCTACCATGCATGTACCAAGTAAACAGAGTGGACTGAATAAGAATTTGAAATTATTTGGTGGTTCTTTAGCCTTGTGATACTTAATAGAATAAGCATCTCTTCTTCAACCATGTCTTTGTTTTGGGTTTTCTAAGCTCCTACTGCACAGGTCTTAAATAGTAAAATCCACTGTTGTTAGAGGGCTTTATCACTTAAGACATTGGAACTCTCTCTGAGATAAATCAGCCGTTTGCTGGCTGTGCATGACTGAGTTTCATCCTATTAATTGACTGAATCAACATACTATTATTTGAAAGACCTTGTTAAGTACAGCTTTATACCAAAGTAGAAACACATTGTCTAAAAGAAATAAACCAATCCTTAAGTATTTCCAGAATGGCTTTGGAATATAATATGGAACAACTGAAATGGGCTCACCAGAGCCTATATCTCCATAACATGTTAAGAAAATGTCAATGAATGAAAATAGGGAGAACCTCAACTTACACCTCATGTGAAAGATGGACTCACTAAGGCATGGAAGAAAGCATCACTTGAAACTGAGCAATTAACTGAATGACTAATAGAATTCTAATTATCATGTCTAATACCAACATCGTGTCAGTATCAAACATCTTAACTTGATATGTATTATTAATATTGACTGTGCATATCTTGAAATAGTTCTAAGTGTCTGCATCATGTCTTCTAGGTGAATGAATGGCAGAGTGATTGGCCTTCTTTCTTTATTCGTCACAGACTCCAAGCTCAACTGGATTTGATTGAAAAAGATTATGGAGACAGAGAAGCAAGAGAGCTTTGGTCACAGCTAAAGGTATGAACTGTATCTTAAATGTGTGGGTTTTTTGAAAGTTAGAAATATGTATCAGTGGACTTTTAAATGTATTCATAGCAGGCTTACATAGCTTTTCATGAGCAACAGTAACTGGATTAGCTTCACGGCTGGCCCAACAACACAGTCAACTGAAAGAATTTGTTACTCTTCCGATTTTTTTTTGTTATTTTTTTAATAAGATAGTGAAAATAAACCTGCAAGTCTGCACTGACATATGTCTTTGATTATAGCTAATAGTAATACATTAAATCCTAAGAACTTGCTGTTGCAAACTGCAGAACATTCTGCTGCCCAGACAGAATTTTTAATTGCTCCAGGCTCACAGCTGAGGCTGGTTCAGTCATACTCTATACAGTGGCTATGGAACAACTAGGAAGGCATTCCTCTTCAAGTTCCATGGCACAAATATCTATATATCAAATTATATATATCAACCATCGCCCTTTTGTCACTGAAACCATTTATTTTATATTTCTTGTGACCAACTGTACTATTAACATTTAGAGACAACACGTAATTATAGATGTTGATACTAGAATGTGAATTCAATGAGTTGCTAAGCTCTGTCAAGAATAATCAGAACACTTACTACTTGTTTACAGCTTAGGTTTATGCTTATAGCCATCAACTTCAAAATGGCTTAATGAGGACTGAAAACAGGTAGTATTTGAGCAGCTTAGTCTCATTTCTTATTGTACTTTGTTTATTTAATATTTTAATATTTTTATTTAATATTTTATAATATATTTTATTTTTACATGTTTGTTCATATTCTTTTAGGTAAAGATTCCTGAAATGTTTTCTGATGTAGAAATTGTTCCTGCTCTACTGCATGGGGACCTGTGGGCAGGAAATGTGGCTGAGGATGACTCCGGGCCAATCATCTTTGACCCTGCTTCCTTCTATGGCCATTCAGAGTTTGAACTGGCCATTGCTGGAATGTTTGGTGGGTTTAGCAGCTCATTTTTCTCTGCCTATCACAGTAAAATACCCAAAGCTCCAGGATTTGAGAAACGAAATAAATTGTATCAGCTCTTTAATTACATAAATCACTGGAACCATTTTGGGACAGGGTACAGAGGACCTACAATAAATGTAATGAGAAAACTTTTAAAGTAACCAGTCAGGGACTAATTTCTCAAACCAAAGTAATTAGCAGCCTCTGCTTATCAGATGTAACACAAGCTAGAAATCACACACGACAAGGCTTAGTATACTTTTGAGCCTCACTAAATGTTAAAAGTGATTGCCTAATTTTTAACATATAGTAGTTGACTAGCACAGATTCATATGAAGAAAAAACTGCATTGTTTCTGAAGACTCCGCTGGGTTGGGAAGTAGCACTACAGCCAATTTCACCTTATTCTGTACAAAGCCTTACTTCCTACCTGCTGCATTTCCACAGTTGTTTGCAACTTGCTGCTTCTGTTGGTGTCTCATTACTGAGAGTTACTGCTGTGGGACTGAGGTGCTGGAAGTAATTGTTGGTTTCTTAGCTCATTTGTTTTGTTTTGCTTTAGTTTTCTCTTCTGCCTTTGTTTTGGTCTTTTTACCTGTTTATGTTTGTCTTCGTTTCTTTCCTATGTAAGGGTTATTACATAATATCCAAAATTTAAGTCAGATTTTATGAATGTGAAACTAAAAACATTCTGGTTTTGATTTAAAGGTAGGCAGGGTCCTTTGGACTGCAACTGACACTAGCATTCCTAATATTTATTTTAATGTAATTAAATGTTTCTTTGTGTTTCCCTGAGAAATTCATTTGAGTAGTTTTTTCTTAAGAGTGATGCTGCTGTAGTTCCTTGGTAATTAATTATATGGTCAGAAAATGCATTGTTACAAGTTTGATAATACAAGCTATTAAAACTATATTATTATGTGTAATACTCTGATGGTAACATTTAAATAACTGTGAAAACATAGCAAACAGTAGGAGGGATACTTGTTTGCATAACAAGTATCAATTTTGCTGTGTTGGTTGGTGCCTGATGCATTTCATTTTTAGAAGATAATGTACAGTAGGCAAAGCTAGTCTGCTCTGCCAGTGCTGCTTTATTGAAGGAACGGTGTCAAACTGGATAGATTTATCTTTTTTAGTATTCCTGATGTTCTATTTTTATAGAAAATAGGCAGTGAAGATGTGGGGAGAAAACTGCAACAAAGATACTGGCATACAGTGTGAGCTTGGGTATGTTAGTGACATATTTTTTTAAATGAAAGTAGTAAGGAAAAAAAAAAGTAAGTATGGTCCAACAAATGCTTAAGTGAATTAGAAAATGAGAACGATAGAACTTATATTTTCAGGGTTCAGATGGTTGTAGTGATTCATATCCTAAATATTATATTCAGAAATATCAAATGACTTCATGTAAGTTTTATGTGGATGTGCTATAGAGAGTTCTTAGATTTTTTGTAATTTATACTATTTAAAAATAATTATCTAAATATTCTGTAGGTTTTTTTTTTACTTCCTTGATTTTGAGCTCCAGTTAGTGGGGTTATAACACTTGATATAATTATAACAGTGGAAAAGTGGAAAAATAGAGTGAGAATACAGTTGAAATTGTGTCTGAATGAACAATGAAGTGCTGAGTCATTATTCATGTTTGCAGTTCAGGTAGTGCACTGCAAATACATGTGAGCTTAAGATTTATTGTTCAATAAAACACTTGTGTTGCAGAAATCAGGCGTTTGGTGTACCTGCCTTCTGTGGTTGTGTTTTGTGTTAATGAACGTGATCCTGAAGATGGATATTTGAGCGTTGTTGGAGTTCCCAGCTCCTGGGAAACAGAAACCATCTGTTCCTGTGCAGTCTGAAGTTTTCCCCTGTATCTTATTTTGCAGCCGACAGGGAATGAATGAGCACCTCTGGGGTTGCCCCACCTCACCCAAGCTTCTTTGGGGCCCGTTCCTTAGGCTGTGCTCTCTGTCAAGCAAAAGGATAACGTGAGGTGACTGACTTTATTCAGTGTCTGCTTTAGGTTCTGACTTCAGCGTGCCAAGAGAGGAGCGGCCACGTAGTGCTGTTGTTGTGTGGTAAAAAGGAGCTGTGGGATGGAAGTGGGTGGAAATGCGGTGGTCTGAGGGGCACATCTTCCTCAGGAACAGGGCAGGAATGATGCTGAGCTGAGGACCGCTAACTGCTGAGAGGGGCACACGTGAACCTGCTTGTATCTCTTCCCCTCTCTGCAATGCTGAAAGCGACAGCTATTGCACCTTTGCGGTTTGGGTAAGAGTCCACCATTACCCCCCGCACCTCAACCACGACGCGATTAAGAAATGGCGGTGGTTACAGATAACGCTGCACTCCAGCTGCCTTCTGCGTTTTGCAACCTGTGCCCAGTGCTTGAAGCCAAACTCACCGCGGGTGTCACAGCCGCGACAATCCCTCACGCTCCCCAGCGCCCGCAGCACAGCGCCGCCCGCTCCTCAGCCCCCGCCCCGCACAGGGGTGGAGCCGTCCGTGCGTTTTTTGGTCCCGCGCGGCGCTCCGTAGGAGGAGGGCTGGCTCTGAGCAGCGCCGCGCCGGTTGCCTGGGTAAAGCGGGGTGCGGCTCGGGGTCCCGGGGCTGCGCCATTCTCGGAGCCGCGTGTGAGGGACGGGCGCGGCCTGAGCGCGGTAACGCGGCTGCGGCGGCGCTGTAACACGCAGCGCTGTGACGCGGAGCGCCGTGGCGGCCTCGGCGATGGCTGTGGGAGAGACGGATGGAGCCGGCGCGGAGGAAAGCGGGAGCCGGGAGGCGGATGTCATCTTCAGGGGAAACATCCTGGAGAGCTTCACCGAGAGCCAGGAGGTGCGGGCGCTCCTGGGGAACCTGAGAACCGTGTACGGGGACCCGGTGGCCCAGGAAGTGATCGTGGAGAAATTCATCGGTGAGGCATCGGTGGTCTTTTTTTTTTTCTTTTTAAGTTAATAATTGTGGGTTAATTATAACCTCGCAACTTCTTTTCAACAGGTAGTTGGGATTTACAGTTTTATTTTTTTTCCCGGATACCTGTTTTGCTTCCACCTTGGGCTTGGATTTAAGGGCTCTGAGTTTGAGCCGTGTGGAACCTCCTGCTCCATCCACAGAAAGCAGCCGAGCCAACGTCTGTGTGCTTCTGCCACATAAAGTCATTTCTGCACCTAACTGCAATCCGTCTTGAGCTTGCGAGCTGTAATTCAATGAGCTTAGTTTCATGTTTCGTATAAAAACATGAGTGGCAGCACACACGTGGTGTTATTCCTGAGGAGGAGCCTCAGGTGTGAGCAGCAGAGCTGTGCTGTGCCATGGAAGCAGTTGAGCAGTTCTGCTCCCAGACCTCCTCCAGCACAGCTGTGATGTAATGATGCTCACCTGGCCCTGTCTGAGGCAAATGGCTTACAGAGCACCCAGCTTTGTATCTGATGCTTTGTCCTGACCAGGTAACTTGCAAAACTTAGTTTCGTGTCTCTAAAATCAAATGAAGTGGATTAGCGCTTTGTATCGCTTTTGGAGAGATGATGAAATTGCTGAAACCTACCCTGCTTCGTTGTCTGTGCTTTTGACAAAACTAGGTAGGCCAACAATAAACCAGGAAAGCCCAAATTTGGGAATCTGACCCAGCAGAAGTTACTCCATTGAATCAGCTGACAGTGGTCCATCAGAAGGAAGTAGTAAGAATCACAGAATCGTGGGGGTTGGAAGGGACCTCCAGAGATCATCGAGTCCAACCCCTAACACTCGTGTTCTGAATATTCAGTCTCACAGGTGAAATGGCAGAGTTTGCTGGGGTAGGAAAGCACATAATTAAAGTCATCAGCTGCTGAAAAACTGTCATCTTATCCAGCTGATCGGGCTGCTGTGCCCCACTTGCACATCATACTCTGTTCATTCAGGCTGTGTTTGTGCACTTTCTGCATGCATCTCTGCTCCATCACACATGCTTAGGAGAAAAATCTCATTGCTACCCACTGCAAAACTGACTTCTGCACATCTTGGGAATGTGTCAGTTGAAGGTGTACCATAGATGTCAGAAGAATGTATCATTGCTTAGAACGTACCACTGAGACTGACAGGCACTGTACATCTTCAAAATGTAGTTCTAATATTTAGTGTTATAATGTGACCTTTCATATGTGATTGTCTCAACCATGATGACAGGGTAAACGAGTGCCTTGCAAATTTTGAAGGTTAGGGATTATCTTAATCTATATGCAGACAATGCATTAATAATCATTTATAGAGGATTTTGACACAGGTTTCCAAAACATTCACAAAAACACGTGATGCTTTTTTTGTGAACTGCTAAAGCAGAAGTCTGGATTAGGTAATTGGATTTGCAACAACAGTTATGGAGGAAAATGTTAGAAGCTTTTTTTTTTTTTCATAATAGCACTAGAATATATATTTTTTTGTTTTTGCAGTTCATTCTCTTCAACGTTTTTATTTAGGATTTCATTTCATATTACCACACTGATCTGGGAAAACAATTTGATGAAGTGATGAATTATAGTTAAACTCCACTTATACCTCAGGCTATTGCTCTGAGCATTGATAGAATTTCTTGTATTCTGTGGTTCTGTTATTTGTACGCAGCTAAAGATTTGTTAATTACAATGGAAAAATAATGATAATGGGGAATGCAGGCTTCCATCTTGATAGTAGACAGTGCTATGGAATCCCATTGGAATTGTACAGGTTAGTGCAAGGATACTGTTGGACTTGCTGATGTCTCGAACGTGGTTGTGCAGTGTCATCCAGTGGTCAACTGCAGCACTGTTGAAGCTGTGTTATGTCAAACCTGAGTTTGATGTGAGATGGAGAAAGGAATAGAGAGCAAAATTGTTTGATAGAAACAAATGCAGGAAAATGAAAGATTTCTTATGAAAAAGCAGTTTTCTGATCAAATATCTAAAATGACGCAGGCAGTATTGATCATTTAATGATCTCTTTCTGAAGTATAACTGTTAGTTCACAGTAATTTGAGACACTCCTGGAAGAGAGTTTTTGATTCAGTATGAGTAAGTGATGTTACTGCAGAGCACTTGTATTTTTACACTAATTTCTCTGTTGTTTTTTTTTTTTGCTTCTTGACCTCATTTAAAAGTGTGGCAGCAGCTAGCTTGAGGATATTGAAATCTTAAACTAAAGCTGTCAAGAATCAGGAGTATGGCCCTCATGATTAATTACCTTAAGGGCCTTTAATTTCAATTATTAATCACAGATACCTCTTTTTCTTTTCAGTTATAATGGACAAGTACCAGGAGCAGCCTCACTTGTTGGATCGCCACTTAGGTAGGAATTCCATCTTTTACACAATAATTTTTGTGCGTATACTTGAAAATCTCTTAAGCTAGAAAGTTCAAATGTGCGTGGCAATATTTCTGTGGTTGATATTAGATATATTGTATGACTACTAGCTCGCTCCCAACTATTAGAAGCATGAGAAACTGTCATCAAACTGTGTGTGTTCTCACTTGGTTTTTTCCTCTCCTTTCATTAGAGTGGATGATGAATATGTTGCTGGATATAATACGAGACAGTGGATCTCCTCCTGTGCTTTTTCACTTGGCTTTTAAATTTCTTTACATCATTACAAAGGTACAAGAACCCCACAACCAAAATTAAACATTCTGTAACTGAAAGTATGTAAATTTCCAGTATCTTTCTTTGCTGTTTGAATAACTTGAAAACGTGTTAGTGTAAAAATGGGAAAAAAAGTAATTATTGTCTGAGTAATGCAGTAAAACCTTTTAAATTGTAGTGTGGAAGATTAGTTGTTTTTTTTTGGGGAGGGGGTAAAGCAGCATTTCCTTGATATTTCATCCTATTCATCGATACAGACTAGTAAAAAGCAAGGTCAGAATGCATTAAAAATGTGGATTGGAAGTATCATGAATCACAGTGTTAAGAAGAAGAGTAAAGCATGGTGAAGAATTAGACCGTGGCATTTCCATCTGAAATTCTAAAACATGCTTTTTTACTGTAAGGACTGAATGCTGGAATTGATTACTCTAAGACTGTGGAGTCTCCATCAGTGGAGCTACTCCAAACCCTACTGAATAGATGTTTGCAGCACGTTGTCCAGGACCACATGAGGAAAAGTTTCTTTCCTTTGAAGGTTGCACAGCACTGGAACAGGCTGCTCAGAGAGTCTGCGGGCTCTCGTCCTCTGGAGATGTTCAAAACCCTGTGTAACCTACTCTAGGGAGCCTGTTTTTACATGGGGATTGGACTAGGGGATCTGCAGAGCTCCCTTCCAACCCCTGTGATTCTGTCACCTTGCTTGAGTGAAGGAGCTAAACTAGACAGTCTTTGGAGATCCCTTGTTTTAAAGAAATATCCTTTCATAATTCAGTTACTGAGTTTGTAAAAAAATGCCAAAATCTCAAGGTTAATTCTGTTCTTATTACACAAGGGTTGTATAGTAACTTATCAGCGGGTCTTTTCTTTTTCTTCAGCGCTTCATGATGACAGATGGCTTAATGAATTTTGAAACTGTGTTTCAGGTGAGAGGATACAAACTTTTCCTCCGACTGTTTCCTCATGAAGTCACTGATCTACAGCCTGTTTTGGATATGATTGCAGACCAGAATCCAAAAGACTGTGAGGTAAGAATCTGCCATACTTCCATCTCCCAACAGAAAAAAACTGAAGAACAATGGAACAGTGTAGAAAATTGTTCTCAAAAAAACCCAACAGCATGTAAAGCTGTGGTATGCCCTGTACAGCATTAGCTTAACAGTTAGACTGAATGCAGAAATCAGGATTTCATCATGTATTCTACTTATTTAAAATTTAGTGCAGCTGGGAATGTTTTAAGTATTGGTTGAAACATTTTATAAGCAAATAATTTCTGAAGCGTGGGTTGAAGTACTGTAGTTCATATTGCTGTGTTTTTTGAGTGAGGAAAAAAATATGGCTGCAAAAGGCTTATAAAAGTTGATTAAATTTGAGTGTTCATCATCTATTAAAGATAACAGAAGTTGTGAATATGAAGACTGTAATTGTACTGCTTCTCTACATTCAAATAGATTTTTAGTAAATTGCTTCTATCAACATTACTGTTGATGTTGATATAGTTGTACGGCTTTTATTTCTTAAATAGCAATTGCCATGAAACTAATCTTTTTCATACAACTTTTCATAGTTGTGATATATATATATATATATATATATATATATATATATATATATATATAGTTAATCTTTATTATGAACCCTTACTGTAGAAGCTCTGTAGAAGTTGTTTCTTGTCTATCTCTGCAAACACACCTCAAGTTGTTTCAAGAAGCCTGTGGAAAGAACATGTAGAAAATTAGGAAGAACAACATGTTTTCTCTAAATTAGGAAGAAAAAAGTATTTCTCTCTAGGTTCTGTTGTGTTTGTGTTAGAACATACGTTTTCTCCCTCCAGATGATGAGTCACTTTCCCTGTAAATTTATGGTGGATTTTTGTTTGTTTGCGTTTTGTTTT